ATGTAATTTTGAACCGTTTAGGACTAAAGGGATTAAAAGCTTTGGAGTAGGATTTGGAAAGTCTCTGGTGTTACGTAGAGTAGAGTTATATCTCCTGCTTCCCCATCTAGACAGAGAGGACCTTTTTCCTATTTACTGGTATGGGGGCTGTTGTTGTAGCTGTGCTGCTTACGAAGCACCATGGTACTTCACACTCCATCATCATGTCCATCACAAACCCTCCTGTCCTGGGAGGGATCACAACATCACAGTCAACATTTGCTGCAGGGTAAAACTTGCCCCAAAAGTCTGGTCTCAAGCTGAAGAGCAGCAGGGGCACAAGGCACGATCAGGCTTGGAAGCTTTCCACTTTCTAGTAACATTACACTTACCTCATTTTCTAAAATGAGCATTTCTAGCCATTATCAACAACCCCAGACCAGGGGCTGATGCTCCTTTTCCATGTGTTCAGACAGCTCGCTGTCCAGTCCCTGCAAGGATTTATATCCCCACTGCTCTGGTGGTGGGACGCATGTCCTGGGTGATCCTGGCCAGGCACACCTCGCTCCAGGGGCTGTGTAACACCTCAGCAGGCTCAGCAGCTCCTTGGCTCACCTCCCCATCCCATCTGCTGCTCTCTGATGCTCCAGGCAGGGGCTGCACACACAGGGACGTGGCTGGTTTTCCTCAACCTCCCCTCGGCCATTCTGCTCATCCACAAGAGGTCCAAGGGAACATGGGTGAAGTCATTGTGTGCTGCTGAAGCCCTGAGTGGTTCTTGCAGTGCTGTCTTCTAGCAGTTTAATGGGTTTTGGGGGTCTCACTGGCTCTTTCCATTAAGAGAAGAAACTCACTTTAGTTATTTTTCAAAGTTAATGATCAAAACCTCTTTATGAACTCAAATCCTCGTTATTAACCAAATCTAGTTTCTCTGAGCAGAGCATGAATCAAATAACATGTGGGGACAACACCTGGTCTTACTGTAATCAGCAGCTCCCCTCTGTTCTCTGTCCCTTTCCGTGTTACTCTCTCTAGGCTGGGCTCTAAGAACATTTCTGGCTGCAGCTCAGGTCTTTGGTTCCTTCTCTGTTTGCTGCCTTTCCCCCTCTTACTGCTCCTCTCATGTCCAGACACATGATCAAGCCAGAGCTGTATTCTGTCAGAAATGCTCTTGTCAGGTTTATCACGAAGTTGAATTTGTCAGCTACAGATATGTCCATATCAAATACAAGACAGGGATATCAAGCTAAGAATAAGTCAGCAAATGGCAAGAAATAAATTACTTCTTAATCTCCAAGAACAGAAGTGGTATTTTGACAGGTGTTCTGGCCATGCTTTAAGGGATAATCAAACTCCCTGCATGCTCTAAACACATGGAAAGTCAGTATACATGCAAAAAAGTGGCCATATCCCCTAGTAAAAACCTGACTGAGAAATACCTGCATTGCAGATGTATTTTCAAAGCCTGTCCTGTAATTACTCTGCTATATGGAAACACAGCATGAAGTTGTGGTCTGCTCCCATTTGTTTTTATCACAAAGCAGGCAAATAAAATCAGCTATTCAGGCATGCTGAAATAACATTAAGAGCCTGATAAATTTGCAAGTGCAATCACAGATGCAAGTCAGAAGATATTTACAATTCAAAGAGCATCAGTCCAATTCAAGAGGCTTCCAAAGATCTGCATTCTAATCTGTCTCCAATGTCAGAATAATTAGAGTGTTATATGCTCTGATAACAACTTTCTCGCGTTCCTTATCTGAATAGAAATAGCACAGGGACTGTCTCACTCAGGAGATTGTAAATCAAAAGTGAAATGACAGTTTTAGTGGAGGCTCTGGGATTTATTTCAGCTGAAGACCTGCCCATGCCATGATGACACACAAGCCGGCCATAAAGACAGCGCTAAATGAATCTTAAAAACGTTAAGAGAGATCCAGTTTACTCTCAGAAGAGGTCAGTGATTTACAGGATTCATATTCCTGTATTGTTTTTATTGTTATTATTTTATGACAAGGTTCATCCAGGGTCACTTGAGACTCCAGAGTTCTCTGTAGCTGAGCTGTGCCTGCTGCAGTGGCTGATACAAGAGGGAAGGAAGAAATTTCCATCTATCCCATGCCTGCGAGTGCATTTCTGCTGGAGGCTGGAGTGCTGCTCCACAGGGAGCAGGGCTGGGGATAACTTCTCTAGAGCAGCTCCCAACGAGAGCATTTTGAAATTGCCCAAAAATTTGTTTTTTCAGCAGCACAAACCACTCGTGGCAGGTACATCCTGCTTGGTTCCTGAGACTCTGTGTAATGGAAAACAAGCCTATGTAAGCCAGAGGGCAGCTCGTGGACATTGTCCCACATTTCTGCTTGGATTCACATGAATCTGTTGATCCTCTTAATTAAAACAAGGTTTGTGTGGCACTAATACACACATGAGTATGGTATTCTCTTTTGGAAGGCCAGGAAACCATAATTGCTCAGAAGAAAAATATTGGGCCAAGTCCAAAAGTCCTCTTTGCTCAAAAAATATTCCACAAGGACAAAGACAGCAGAGTTCTTTTGAGGCATCACAAGCTGTATACCTTAGCAAAGCTGAAATAATGTGGCAAAGCCATTTCATAGGCTGTCTATTGCATGCAAGTAGGGAAAAAATACACAAGCAAACCCACTATTGCTTGCCAGTGTCCAAGAACCAGGGAAAATTTAGTTTTGACTCATTTTCTCTTCTCTTTCTCTCTGTGCCCTCTTCAGAGCAATTCCAGGTAGACATCCAGCAAATTTCAGTGTTCAGGCTGAGTTCTTCAGCTGTTTCCCACATCTACTGTGCTCACTACAGGTACCAGAAAAAATGGTGAAGTATCTCAAGATACTTTTGACACTTTGAGAGGTGGCTCAAGACAACTTGTAATAAATTATGTTTTCACAATGATAAACAGCAATTGACTGGTAGGCTGAAAACAGCAACATGGTTTCCCAAAATTTATGTTTATTCCTGTCACCTGGGAAGGTGACATTAGCTAGTCCTTATGCCTGGAAAGAGTTTGGTCCTGAGCCCTGACAGACAGGTGGACTTTTGCCATCAGCCTGGCAGAAAGCTTCCCTTCAATTCCAGATGCACGAAATTAAATCTGTGAGTTCTGGTCAGTGTTGCCATTGCTGGCTTTCACAGGGTGGTTTAAAAGGGCTTTTTCCCATTGTTTTTCCAAGGACCTGCCCAAAAATGTTTCCATCCAAACCACCATCGTGCAAGACTCCAGCAGAGGAGAGAAGAACAATAGCACACGAGGTTCCAAGTTCAATAGCAATTTCAAGGATTTTGGCTGTTACAGTTAATGAGTGGCAGTTTCTCTCAGGCCTCCTTTCCTTAACCCTTAACAGCCAAGGCTTGGAAAACTGCTCATTGAGAGGGCAAAGAGGTCAAAAAACCCAGACATGAATTATTAAAAAAGCAAAACTAAAAAATTTATAAGTGTTTTGAAGCAAAAATATCAGATAAAATGAGATTTTATTTCTATTTCCACTTTTGCTCAAGTAATGCATGAGACTGAAGGGTGGGGTTCAGAGTCTGGATTTTGGGCAGGGCTATTTTAGAAGGCTGAAGACAGTCCAACAGTTGCTCTAGGGCAAGCACTTCCCAACTTTAGGGTATTTAAAAAAAAAATGTTTCCTGATCTAAAATCTGTGGCTTGGGCATGTTTCTAAACATTTCTTTTTCTTGAAAAGAAAGAAAAATCATCATATGGTGAAACTACCTTGTCACACTTTTCCTTCCAAAAGGCATGGGAGGGGGGGGTGATAGATAAAAGTCTGAAATCCAGAAAACTGGGGAAACCTGCTTTTCCCCAAAAATTATGCACAAACCAGTTCTAAAGGACAGCAAAATCATCTCTTAGCTTCTCTGTGGGGAGAGCCTGACATCTGTGAGGAGGAGGCAACAGCTCCTCACAGGCCGTGTGAGAGGACAAACCCCTCCCAGCAGCTGCCACCCAACCCTCAGCTCCAGATTATTTATCAATAATTATAACTAACATGGTCTTCTCCCAGTTTGCATTCTGAATTGCAAGTGTCTGTCTATAGCCTTGATGAGAGCATTATTCTTCATGAGTACATCTGCATGATTTCACATGTACTTGAAATATCTCTTCTACTCCACAAAGGCCTGCAACAAAAAGTACTCAAACAAAATAAAAAATAAAAACAACAACAAAAAAAAACCAAAACAAAAAAATACCAACGTGTCCCCTGACACAGCTGATGCCTTGGAATGGTACCTAGAACACAGGCTAGACAAGATTAAGAGAATAAAATGGGTATTTATTAAAGGCCTTCAAACAGGTTCACCTTGGGCAGTCAGAAGCCTTCCAGAGGCCTCACCCAAGCTGGACAATGGTAATGAGTTTTTCAGAGTATTATAAGTTTGGTCCATTTACATATCAGGGGTTAATGTTTCAATTACAGCTTCAGGGAATTAAGTTATACACTCCCAGTTTGCTCCCCCCCAAATTCAATTTTTGTTTGTACTTTTTGGGGTCGGAGGCAGTAGGGTGTCCTTGGATTTCAGGCCTAGAGGGATTGTTTTGTCTAGCCAAAATGTGAAGACAGCTAACTAACACTTCATATGAAATTTGGAATTAAACATTAATGCAGTACAGAATTTGAAAACTATAAAAGCTAAAATCCTAATCTATCACAGCCAGGGGGTTATGAGAGCCCTCCAGGCCAGAGCTTGAGAGGGTGCTCAAATGGAGGAAAATGTGCCACAAGGAAGAACACAGGATTTCAACCTCCAGCATGAGAAAATCCATTATTTCATGGGAGTTTAGCACCCTGCCAGGCACTGCTGCTGTACACAACCCTCTGGGCTGGTTGTTCCTTCTGCAGCAGAGAGAGAGAAGGATTTAACCTGTGAGACACAGGAGTGTGTTCTGTCACACTTCCCTGCACCAGGATCTTGTAGCCTCCAGTGCCACATTTTTGCTGACCCCAAAGTACTTTCTTCCCTCCCTCTGCCTCAATTTCCAAGCCCCATGAGTATAAATGGTGTCACAGATGGGAATAGACCAAAACTGGGGCTTGTCCTGCAGGACAATAGGAATCAATTCAAAATATCAGCACCTTGGTGTTACCTGAGATACTTCATTTGCTGGTGGTATTCTAAAGACTTTTGTCCATCTTGGGAACAGGGTAAATCCTCCAGTGCAGCTCTGGAGAAAAGAAGAGGCCCTCACATTCATGGTGAATGCTTGTCACAGTCCCTGTGTGACAGCTCAGCATTTGATATGAATGGGGGAGGAGGCTGGCAGCAAGTGGAGATCTTCAGCTTAATTACCTTGAATAATTTGCCTGCAGGTGCTGTGCAGGTGGTCTGAGCCCTGAGGCACTGACCTAGGAAAAGCCATGGGAATTCTGCATCCTGCTCCCATCTCAGCTGCAGTTCTGGGATGCTGAAAAAAAACACAGATTCCTCATTTTAATCCACAGTTATCAACTTAGAGTTGCTTAAAAGAAGAGGAAAAATTGATGTCATTGTTAAGCTTAACTCCATTCATTTTAGCAGCTTGCTCCATGTCAGCTTTAAAAGAAGTGGAGAACTTCCTCAGAGATGAGAAGAGCATTCCTCAGCTAAACCCTGCAGACATTTACAACCCAAACCAAAACACACATTCTTTCCTGAGGCTGGCCAGGCAGCCACTGGGAGTCACCCCCTCCCGAACAATGATGTTTTAAAATATTCTGGGATTTTAGTTAGCCAGTGACAAACTCTCATTAAATGTGCTCTAATTTTTCTTCTCCAGGCCACTGACTTGAGGGTTATCATGTCTGCATTAAGGTTCAAAGCTGTTTAACAGCTCTTTGAGTGCAATTCTCAAGATGTACGGATCTTGTGAGTCACAGTGGTTTCTAAAGAGAAGCAGTCATTTTTATCTTGGATTATCAGTAAAATCTAATTTCTGTGAACAAATAAAAAAGACATGACACCATTCTGTGCTTTGACATTCAGGAATTTGACATGAAATAATGTTATTAGTTTATGCTACTTGCTCTATTGGTTTCTAAAATCAGATACAAGTCTGTGATCAATGCATATATTTCTTAACATTTCATGTGCACTGCTTGGGGTTCATCCCAAGAAACAATTACAATCCTTCCCTCACACAGAAAACATATTGGCTAAGGCTCAGTATAGGCTAATCCCAAATTTACAAAGAATCTAGAGGCTTCCTTCACATGCTCAGGGCCAAGCTTCTGGGTGAGAGGTTAGAAAAATACTTTCTGGGGAATTGTCATTCAGAATGCAGAAGATTCCCTTAGACTCAGCATGGACAGAGGACATGAATTACCCCCTGTGCATTTTCAGGTAAAGAAATTCAGCATATTCTGAGACTACTTCAGAATTCACTTTTTACACAGAAGTTGTCCACTGGTACCAAAAACTGAAATGCAACAAAGAGGTACAGAAAAGGATCAAAAGAAATGACTGTTCAAAGAAGGAGAGAGCAGGAATATTGAAACCTAAGGAATTCCAGGCTGTTTGGCATATCTGAAATTCATGTTCCTGCCTTACAACCAAGAACCTGTTGTACCATAAAAGAAACCCTTATTTTAGCACCCTTTTTGTGATGCAAGAGGTGATGGATATTAAGTTCTTTGGAGAGGAGTTGAAAGCAAATGGGATTTGCTTTTGCTGGAGTACAGGACAATTCTGTAGCATGGGATTTTTTTATAATAAATGTTTGGAGAGCTGTAACTGCTGTGTGTGTACACGTGGGTGTCTTGTCACCTCCCTCGGTCCGGATGGTTTCGGGGTGTTTCCACGAGGAGGATACATATGCTGAGCTGTGGTCAGATGCCACTTCAGTGCCATTCTGTTTATTTTTAGGATATGCAAACTGATCCCCGTGTGCCAGGATGTGATGGGATCAAACAGCAGGAGGCTGCTTCTCTGCTCGCCCCCACGCTGCCCCAAACCTTTTGTTCTTTGTTCTTCTTCAGGATGTGCCTTATGTTTGCTTTATCCCTCGCTGCTCTTGCCCATTCTTCTCTATCAAATAGCATCAGCCTCTTTATCATAGGAAATAGAAATGTCCTGGGACTGTCTCCATATCCTTCTAGCCTCTCCACTCAGTTTTTCATTATTTGCCCTGTGCTCTGCTCTGTTTCTTTTTTCTTTTTGGCTGCCACTGGATAAAGGATCTGTTTCACTTTAGAAGGAAAGGAGCAGTGAGACCTGCCCCAACCTGAGACCAAACACACCCTTTGGGAGGCTGTTTTCCAGGGGAGCAGCATCCCATCTTCTCCTGCCTCTTGCTGGGGCAACACCAGGCAGAGAGAAGGACTGTGGGCAGGTCACAAATGGCACAGCCACAATCAGGAGCCTCAGCTTTGTGTCATAATGCTTTCATGCCACGAGATCAGTCTGAGCTCTCTCCTCTACAAACCTCCTGGGGAGATTTTAATCTTCCTGCTTGTTTTTGTTACATCTGCCTTTTGAGAGAGTCCCTGAGGAATATTTATTATTTCTTTGGAATCTGCTGTCTCTTTCATAAACTCTTTCTCACTTCTCCTATAAAAACACATCCAGAACAGAGCTCCTTCCAGTTTCCAATTTAATTTTATTCCTGAGCAGTTCGTACCCAGTTGTTTCCATGCTGTGGCTATGCCTTAACTTGAATAACTCTTTTCCATCCCTGGTGTTCTCCTGCACAATATGTGAAAGGTAATTTTTTTTTTTTTTAGGGCTCCTCACATTCCTTATAACAAACCACTTTTTAAAAGTTTATGAGTTCCCCTTCAAAGACTTTGGATGCATCAGGATTTCAGGCAGGTACAACACACTGGACAAATGACACCACCAGACCCTCTTTATCAATGGATAATTGATATCAATTTTCAAGCTGAAAGCCATCTCTTTAAATGAGTACAAGCCTTTTCTTGCTCTAAGGGCAGGGCTTTTATCTTCCTACCTTTTGTATACACCACTATTTTTCCAGATCCAATAAGAAAAGCCCACCTGAATCCACTACAGCATTCTTAACATCATCTCTATACAAGCAACATCCAGCATTTAAAATGATTGAATTTAATTTTCCAGCATTCACTGGTGCTGTCATCCTGTTTCATAGTATGAATTGGGTGAAGGTCAGGGCTTGACTGACCTTTGTCCAAGTTGTCCCTGCCCATGGCAGGGTGGGGTAGTAACTAGCTGACCTTTAAGGACCCTTCCAACCCAAATAATTCTGTGACTTCGAGTTTAATTATGCATAGTTAATCCATTTTTTCAGCTGTACATAAAGCCTCTTCTTCTGTTCCTAGTCAGTGGGGTGATTGCTTAATGAGCCTGTTTCTGCCACTACCTGGATCAGTTTTAACACCTGTGCCTCTATGAGATCTGAAAAACAGAGCCTGGGTCCTTCTCAGAAATTGTCCTACACTGTTGCTTCCCCTATTTAGAGGCATTTCCCTGTGCTGGCACTAGTCCAAGGACAATTTAGAAAACTTAATTTGCTTTTTCCACAGCTCTTTGCCCTGCACACTCACATCTCTGAAAGCCATGTTTCACAGTCATTCCTTGTTCTGTAATATCCTGCTGTTTATCAGAAATGCTCAGTAGATGAGTGGGAATCCATTTTTGCTCCACAAAAGCCCAGATTCCCTGAACCTCCGTGCAGGTCTCAACTCTGATGCACTTTTCTCCCTGATCTGACTCTTCAGCTTTGTGCCACCTCCTCTAGCACGTGTTGGGGGAGAAGTTTGTATTGGGAACTTCTGAAATTCTGTTCCAGGTTATTTTGTATGGTTAAAGGCTTTTTCTGCAGCCACGATTATTAATTTTTCTTTCTGAAATTGCAAAGTGAGAGGCTGTAAGAGAACTCTTTCTCATCATTTGTATGCCAATTCAGTTTTTCTTGTTTTATGGGGCTTGAACAATGTTTCAAGTCAATTTCCTCTGCTTCTCTACCCTTCAAGGGCATTTCCTTTTCCTTCACTTCAAATTTTGAGTCTCCCCAGAACAGCTCAGGTTAGTGGCTGCTGCCCAACTATTTATCAAGAACTTGTACAAACCCTAGATAATTCACATTTTTTTTCCTCTTCTCCTCAATCTGGCAGTAAATCTTGCAGCAGCTTCAAAGTTGGGCTGTTCAAGTCTACACTTACAAACCCATGTGTGTCCATCCTTCCCAGGCAGCCTTTTAGACTGCAAGACCTTTGAGGAGCCTTCCCATTCCAGTGCAATTTTGCATTATTTGAGAACAAAATCAAATTATCTCCCTTATTCAAACTTCTCTAAATTACTGATGTGTACAGAAAAGTGCTACAAATGTCATGGTTTAGTCAAATTTTCTAGCTCCTACATCAAGAAGGCTGATTTCACTGTCCTCTATGACCCTTCTGTCACCTTAGCCAAGCAATTTTTCAGCTCTTCAAAAGCACTTGCAGAATCAGGAATTAATTTGCTGCATCATCATCTTCTTCATTATCCAGCACCATGTAACTGGAAGAATATATGACAAGACAACAGGCTCTTTTTTTAGATTGCATTTTTAGCCTTTTGCAGGTTACATCAATCTATTTTTAGACTAAATAACTAAATAAATAATAAATAACTAAATAAAGTGAGAGCACAGGGCAGCCTCTCATCCTCCATTCCAGCTGCCAGGAATCTTTGAGCCAAAGTGGAAGGCAGGGACACCTTCCACTAGACCAGCTTGCTCCAAATCCCTTCCAGCCTGGCCTTGAGCACTGCCAGGAAAAAGCCAAATAGGCTCCACAGTTTCTCTGGGCAACTTTTTCCAGTGCTTTACTGCCCTCACAGTCAGGAATTTCTCCCCAAAATCCAACCCAATCCTGCTGTCTGTCAGTCTGAAGCCATTCCCCCTTGCCCTGCCATTCCAAGCCCTTGTCCCAGGTCCCTTTCCAGCTCTCCTGTAGGGCCACAATAAGGTCAAGCAGGTGTTGTAAAGGTAAAGAGGCTGAAGTCCAGCCTCTTCATGCAGAGTTAAGGATTTTCTCTCTTGGAGTAATTCTTTTCCATGGAGCACCTTGCTCAAAAATCTTGCATGCCTTTTTCTTCTTTGAGGCACAATCCAAGCACTGCTTACCTTGTTGACTTTGCTGTTTTCATTTTGGGTACCAATGGCCCTGAAGAAGCACTGCAGGGTGTTGGGACTCCACCTGCCACAGATGACCTATTATAAATCATCAAAAAAAAAAAGTATAAAATCAGTGCAAAAGCAGATGGGTACTTTAGAATTACGACCCCTTAAAGAGTTTTGCTGGCTCCATTTTACAAAATCTGATTTTCCCTGTCTCAAACTGGAAGGAATCAGGGTTCAAACCTGCAGAGGTATTATCTGTCACCCTGGGCAGGCAGGGCTGGCAGAGGGGACCTGGCTGTGTCCACGAGAGCCATTGGTGTGTGAGCAGTGGTTCTGCCTCCAGATCAGCTCTCACATTCACAAAGTCACCACTAACACAAGACCTGGCAGCTCCTCAAAGATGAGCAGAAGTTTGGAAATCAAAGATATTTTTCATTCCTGAGCATTTCCATCCTACTCACTGGGCTTCTTTGCATTCTGCAAGAATAAGGCAACCAGAAGTGGTGGAAGAACCCCCACCCTCCTCAATTTGACAAAATTTTTACCATTTGCTAGAGAATGGTTACAACCCCCTTAAAATATGAGTTTTCTTCATTACAGAAATACTTTTTTATTCCTTTAAAAGCCAGTGGAATGTGGACAATGAACAATCTCACATTTAGAAGCCAACTTTTCATCAGGGTTTATCCTTTTGACTTGGAAACTGGCTCATTTAAGCTGGAAAAATTCTGTGAAATGTTGCAATAAAAGAGGCTCTATTTTTGCATTAGCAGAAATATGCACATGCAGAAACCCAGGCCATACAAAAATGAGCAAACAAAGGAGTGCCCAGCCCAAACTGCAAATTTCTTATTTCAAGCACAAAGCCACATAGATCTTTGCCATCTCTAATAATAATAATGCATTCTGCCACCCAACAGCACAACATTCCCACCAGGCAGGGTATTTTTCCCTGCAAAACAAAACTTAGTGGACGTGGCTTCAGCTGCCTAAATGTCATCTCAGTCTGTTGCAATCTGCTGTAAAGTCTCAAGATAAAAGTCATGTGTCACAAAATCACAACAATTTCTGGATTTGCTTTAGGACTAGAATGTTCCTGGGCAAAAACTATTCAATAAGGAAGAAATTCTGTCATCTGTTTTTTAATGATTCCCTGAAAATTGCTTCTCACTGATTTTTTTTCCCCTCTTTTTTTTGCCTACTTTTGTGTAATTTTATTTCATAAATCAGATCCATCCCAGTTTCATCAATCAGACATGGGAATATCCTCATAGAGCCATCCATGAGCTGGAAGGGATCCACAAGGATCATCAAAGCCCAACTCCTGAATTTTGCTTTTCTGTATTTCAAAGTAGTGCAGTAATTGTACATACTGTTTGAGGGAGGAAAAAAAAAAATCTGAATGCAGGATAAGCTTCTGGCCAAAACAGCTCAGATTTTCCATCTCATCTGCAGCTGAGACATGAAAAGCACAGGTTAGGACTGGGCAGCATCCTCCAGCAGCAGAAACCCTATTTCTGGCAGTCTTCTCCCCAAAGTTTCTGTGTGTAACTCTATTTATGGGCTTTTAGACCAAACATAGTAAAACCAGGTATGAGAAGGATACATTTAGACTGAATCAAAGTTTGAGGGAAGGGTAGACTTTTTATCTTTCACATACACTTGCTGGCAGATATTTATAGAGCATGACACTCTGAACTCTGATCCACAGTCAAGGAGTGGGATGAGTTACATGAATTCAATGCCACAAGCTCAGCATAATTTCCTTTCAACACCATGGCCAAATTGTCTTGATTTCCATACCTGTAAAATGGGGGATAACACTTATCCCTTTTACAGGGGATAATGTTATAAACATTAGTTTAATCACTTGGAGAGGCACCGACTTCATACTGTAAAATAACTTTACCTGTACTAGCTGTGCCACACAGGAGGAGCTGAAATTGAACCCAGGAAAGTGAGGGAGAAAGGAAGCAAAATTTCCTGTTGTATGATGCACTCTGACTAAGAATATGAACCCAAGGGACCGTGGGAGGAAAGGTTTTTGCAGCCTGCTTCTCCCCCTTTCACCATTATGCCCATGCAATGCCAAACACATTCCTCCTTTACCCAGGGAGCAGGGAAACACAGTCCTCCCACCTCAAATCAATTTTTCTTAGATTCCAGAACAACTGTGGTGCCATGTGCCAGCCACTATTCCCCACCCCATGTGCCCATGCTGTGCCCAGTTGTCCCCTCTGGTTGCAGAATAAATCAGAGGAGCCACTGTGGTATAGCTGAGAAAGCAATGGAAAATCCAGCCAGCCAGGGAGCTTTTTCTTCTTGATTTCTGTGAAGTTCTCAACACTTGGCAAGCTTTGTAAGCTCAGTAGTGGGAACTGAAAAGGAAAAACCATCACGTACCATTTTTTCTGTGGCTTGCAAATGTGAAATAAATCAAGAGATAAAACATCAAGACATCTGTGATACAAGATTTGTTTTGTGAATGTTTAAAGCATTTAATCTCTGTTCTTCTGGCTCTCAGTCCTGGTTGCTGGGACATTATTATTTTACCTATTTTCTAAGGTATAATCACTTCCATCTCAAGAATTTTCTGGCTGCTTTCTGTACTCCCCTTTGCACGACTTGGATAAATCTCCATAGCTCTACCCATCTGTCCCGTTTTCTGCCTTCTGGTTTATCATCTGAAAATCCCTACATGACACCAGTGAAGACCCCACTGCCAACAGCAGGGCCAGCTGTGCTACCTCGTTATTTCCACCCCTTTGCTGCCTCTCAGAGCTGGGCCAGGTGTCCCTGAGCCACAGCCACCACTCAGGCATGAGCTGAGCTTCCCATCGCCACCAAACTCCTGTGCTCCCCCCACTGAGCCACAGGACATCCCCTTTTCCATCTCTTCACACAGGATGATGACAAGGAGCATGGCTCAGGTCGCTGTGGGAGTCCTGGGGAGCCACACAAGCCCAGTGTGAAGCTGGCACTCCACCACCAAGCCCTGGCCCTGGTGGGTTGCACAGAGGAGCCAGCCCAGCACGAAAGACAGCTCAGCAAACAGCCCAGCAAGGATTTGCAGATTGATGGAAGACCTGAAAATAGACCTTGCAGCATCTCTTTCTTCTGTGCCACACGGCCTTCTGTCTGTCTCCAAACCCTGGTTATCCCAGGGGTTGTGCAGGGACCTCTGCCCCAGCAGGTC